AATTAATTAATAAGATGTTTAATATTTGTTTTATGGTAGGACAAGAAAATATGTTCAAAGTAGTGTAAATAGAAACTTGGTCTGTGTTCTGAAGATGCTCTAAATTTTGAAAATGCTAAAATTTATCAGAATTAAAAATATTTCAATTAAATTTAAGTAGATATGGATACACCTCTTAATACAGGCCTTTTTGAGAATATGGAAGAAGATTTTTTTTAAAAAAAAACTACTTCTCATTCTCAGATTGAAAAGCAATTTTTGCTTATGCAAAATATACTGGAGTTAAAATGTCTTCCCACAATTAAAAAGTATTTTTTAATTTTGTTTAATTTGGCTGAGTAGTTTACTGATTAAATTTATATTTTTTATTGCTAGCACAGACTAACACAGACTAATTAACACAGACTCTTCTATAACTACTAATTTTTATTCTATCTTTCTGTGACCTAAAATAGGGCTAGAGAGATTATTTGTTTGTTCATTTTGTAGACTACAACTAGTGGGGGAGCTTATTAATCCACTCCAAAATGCAAGCTCAGTAGGGAGAGATTATTACTAAAGTAGCTCTGCATTGTAATGTGTGACTGACTTTATCAACAGGTAGTCTTATCTTTAGTGACAGAACTCAGCAGAAGTCATAGATGTAATAGCCAACAAAGGTAGGTATTGCTTATCCATGTTTTACTAGTTCTTGGTATAAAGGGCAACACAGAATGAAGTTCTGTTTCTTATGCAAAAAATCACCTGATACTGAAACTAATTAACTAACAATACATGTGCATATTCCAAACCATACAGAATCATTAATTTATGGTGGGTGACGTAAGAGCTGTAATTTTAACATAGATCACATGTGGCTTTCTTCCAGCTTCCCACCAAAAATTGCAAACTTGTAAGCTAGTCATCTAAACTCTTACTCGTCCAGCACTCTACACTTCAGTTGAACTGCCTGCCTCAATTTTTTTTTTTTGGCTCTTTCTGAAATGAATTAATACTAATCATTGTCATGCCCATCAGAGTCCAGCCTGCTGCTAAATGCAAACTAGAGGCTTGGTTCAAACACAGGTCTTATCCTTCAGTCTTTCACAGACTCGCAAGCAAGGGTTCAAAATTAATCATTATGCTGTTAGCATTTGGCCTAAACAAATGAGAAGGCCCTCCCTGCTTTAATGCTCTTTTTGTACTTAAGCTGCATACATTTGCTAATTTCAATATAGCTCACAGCATCACATCAGAATTTAGAGTGGGAAGTGTTTCTAATTTGCAAGAAAATCTGAAATAATACAGCCTTTGTGGCCACATGATTATTATAACTACATACTTTGTTATACTTTGGCGGCTTTAAGTATGAATTTAGTGTAATAAATAAAACTGCCAATTACATTGTGTTTTTCGACATCTGTATGCACCTGTCTTAGTAAGTGAGATCTCTGAATTCCCTCTTTTTTCACTGATCCAGCCTTAGGTGCCAACATGCCTCCTTGTTTTTGTTGAGCAAAGCTTCTATATAGCCAGTTACAGTAACCTTATACAGATTTTATTCTAATAGTTTTATTAATTTATTAAAGTATTTATATTGTGCTTTATAGCTAAGAATCTCAAGGCAGGTTGCGAGCAATAAAACATCATGTAAAAAGAATATGGAGGAACAATTTAGAACATTTTAAAACTTTATATGCTGTACATACGAGAGCAGATTGGTATTCAGTGAAGTTATGACCCCTAAGCCCAAAAGCTTCAGGAAACAGCCATGTTTGGACTTGGTACTGAAATGAGGCCAATGTTACCAGTGATCTGGCCTCCAAAAGGAGTGCATTCCACACCAGGGATAGCACAGCAGAGGGGTCACTTCCCTGTGTCTCCATATTGTGCATTGCTATTAACCAGACACAGAGGTGTCTCTAGCAGTGCTCAGTGCTAGAGCAGAGAGAGAGATAGCGTGGGTGCGCCTTCAGGTATAACAATCTCAGAATGATAGGGCTTCAAATGTTAAAATGCTAGCTCTAGTAAATGTCCACAGGGTTGAGTCACTATTGTTGTTTTTGCCAGGACCAGGAACTTCCTCTCTTCCCCCACCCCCAAACTGTAATAAACTTTTGTGGTACTTTATATTGTGTCTATATTTTTAAATTTCAGATTGTCTATAGCTTAAAAATAGCCTTTCTCCAGTACTTTCCCCCATAGAGGACCCAAAACAGATGACAACAATTACAACTGTACTGTTAAAACATTAGTTGCTAGAACTGTAATACTTTGAAGCTTGTTCTTAGAATTTGTCGTTCCATACTTGAAAACTATGAGAATAATATTGCATTGTGTACAAATGATGTCCATGCAGTTATGCCAAAGTGCGAGACGTTTGTGTTCCATTCAGTCTGCGGACTTGTTTTCAGTCCGTGCTGTGAATATAGCCAGATAGCTCACATATGAATTTAAAGACCTTCACAGGTCCTTTATAGTTGTTGAGATTGAAATAAAATTGCTTATAGCTATATGTTGGCATTTTGCATTTACATGCGTGTTTAATGAACAAATTGTTTTAGAACAATAAAAACACTGTCTTTCTAACCTCAAATAAGAAAGTTTCCTTTTTTCCCCCTTTTAGCATCTCTTCCCGAGTAACATCCATGTCTTTTCTCTGCATACCTCTTATTACTTTGCCTGATGTCACACCACTACTTGAATCTCTTCTTAGCTATTATGATGATGGATCAAAGGAGGTTCTTCATTCTCTATTTTTAGAAAGAGTGAACGAGGCCATATTAGAGTAAGTAGACCAGAAAATATGTGAATTCTCACTGTATTAAGGTGAAGGTTAATTCAGCAAGTTTATCATGCTGATATTCCATCTCAGATGTCTCAGAACAACATACGTTAAATTTCACTTAACTCTTACATAGCTTATCCACAAGTTGCTATGCAGTGGTTGTGTGTGAAGGAGAGAGAAAGTGGATACTGACTCTCCTTTCTGACCAGATTCTATGTAGCCTGTGTTGTTGATCCACATGTGGAATGCAATTTCTGCACTTAGATACCATTTTCTAGATCAGGGAGGATGGGATGACCGAGAAATCACAGCAATTTGTCCTCCTTTGCTTCAGGTGAGTCTTTTGAGTAATTTCAGCCTGGGCAGGTGAATGTATATTGAAATAATTTACAACAACCGAATGTCTCTTTGGAGTTGTTAGGTAAAATCAGAAATATAAAATATAGCACAGGAAAACATAGTGGTTAAAATAGTAAGTCACAACAAGGGTGGACCCATTGAATCAGTGGCCATTTGGTGACTCAGCTCCTCTGTAAGTTCTATTGGCTCAGTGGGCCTACTGTGCTGGTCAGTTACTACTGGATTTCAACCTTTTTGTAAATAAAGAAACTGAATTAATGCTTTGTGTGTTCCAAGCATCTTAAAGTATTTTGCTTGCCTATGAATTTCTGTGCTTCCCAAGGAAAATAAGGGGCACTTTGTCACAGCATATGGTGCTGAATTACATCTTTCCATCTACAACTATGCATCTAAGATAATGGTTCCCAATATTGGGGCCCAAGGTGGTACTTAGGTTACCACTCCCAGACTCTTTAACTGCTAACAATGTTGGATGAAACTTCTGGAAGTCCAAGAAAGTTGAGAATTATGGTTTGGGCACCAGGGCTGTAGGTAGGTCTCCCTCTGCATTTCCTTCTTTTTGATCTCTGGAATATCCTGGAAAGAATTCATTTCTTTACTGGTACCTGACTAGTTGAATTGCCTTCATATTATTCATGCTGTAATAGTACAGAAGTGCTCTATGTTTATGTCTGATGTGGAAACATCTGGCCCTCCAAAAGAGACCTCTAGAAGAAGACTTCAGCCTCCCAGCGAAGTATACCACTGACCTTAGAGGTAGCTGTGATGAATAGAAGACATTTCAAATGGAGATCGGCTTGAGAGACTGCTGAATTACAGTTCATTATAGGCTCTGAACTGTCTCTGGAGGCTTTAATCAGGATAAAGATTTTTTTTAAATCACATTGGATCTTTTTAATGGCTTATTTGGTACTGGTGTTTATTAATGCAGTTGTCCCTGTCAATACTTTCTGCATTTATTTTCCTCTGACCACAACTCCACCCCTGCCCTCTCTGTTTACAATCCCACTCCCAACCATACACACTGTATATAGAATTTCTCAACAAAGCCTTGTATATGCATTTGTAATGTTTGAGCTGCGCAGCTTAGAGAATGGAAAAGAATGGTATTTTCTCTTGTTTTCTAACAAAATAGAGAAAAGATTTCTTTGCCCAAATCTGTGGTGATGCAGTTGTGGCTTCGTCATCTTCCTAGTTTGGAGAAAGCAGTGCTGAAATATATCAAAAAATTAATCACCAGTCAGCCAAGTTCAGTGCAAGAGATGGTGTGTCTGATAAAAGGCTCCTTATTGGTAAGTGTGGGATAGTGGCACTGGTAAATAAATATGGTTTTTCTTGTACTGTTGTACTAAAAGTCCTTTTGATAGTGCACAAAATGTACAATGTGTAGAAATGTAGGAACAAGCAGCCCATGGCCCATAGACAGGAGAATAAACAGCATAATTCATGGCTTATTAGATTTTGATTGGGTAATGCAGTATTATTGCTAAACAATATAACATAGTTTTCATTAGCAATGAACATTATTCCTGTTTTAACTTTTAAAAATAACTTTCAGTGATTATCTCTGAGAGAAGTCTTGATAGAAAAAGGTGAAAGCAAGCCTCTGACTAGTCTGTAGCCAGGATTGCTTGGTGCTGAGAACTAGCCCCTTAATATCCAGCAGTGCAACTAAAACTAGATAGAAAGAGAGATTAGTTTTGAACTTATATTTCCCAGAGAAATTAGTGAGCACTAAACCAGGCATGAAACAGCTATGAAAGAAAAGAACACTTGTAGAGTTCAGTTCTATAGGAGGTTCCTTTTTATATTCAGAGGCTCAAGAGAATTTTCAGAATCGAAGAAAATATTTTAGTGATAAACCTCTAATTTCATAATTCACTACAGAAAAGCCATCATGACAGTAACAGCTGATATGAAGATGATCTTGCCTGTATCTTTATTAGTTGCCTGAATGATGTAGCACAAGGTTATACACTAGCACTCGGGAGGGCACAGCAATGAGCACTATACAAAGCAGCAGCTTTTCAAGTCTAGTCTTGGTAGTACGAGACTGCTGTGCTTTATTATGGAAGAAATATGATATCCAACACTGTTATATTAGGGCTCCAAATGTAATTAAAGTGTGATGGTCTAGTAATTTCTATTTTATGTGGTGTGCTGTTACTTACATTTCCATCCCTTGGGAAGAAATGAAATTGGTAATGGAAATTCTATAGTTACTAAGAAGTATAAAAATAAAAGATAAGTGTTACATAGGTTGCACATAGTGAAATGACCTCTATAAATATTATTTTGCCTATCAGGAGCTTTAGTTCTTTTTCCAGATGGTTAAAGGTGTATTTCCCCCCCAAAATAGCGGTGGAATATTCACCTTACTGAAAGACTATGCAGATAATTGCATGAGGTACAGATGGAAGAGAAGACATGTTTCAGCTATTGCTAGAAAATATGTAACTATTTCATATACAATTGTACTGATGCCAGGCCAAAATTTTCACCACAGTGGTGGGTTTTATACAATCATAGAATAATTGAGTTTGAAGGGGCTATAAAGCTATCGGGGCTATAAGATTCTGCTCAAAATCCTCCAAGGTAGGCTTCAGCAGTATGTGGACCGAGAAATCCCAGAGGTACAAGCTGGATTCCGAAGGGGCAGAGGAACTAGAGACCAAATTGCTAACATGCACTGGATTATGGAGAAAGCCAGAGAGTTCCAGAAAAACATCTACTTCTGCTTCATTGACTATGCAAAAGCCTTTGACTGTGTGGACCACAACAAACTATGGTAAGTTCTTAAAGAAATGGGAGTGCCTCACCACCTTATCTATCTCCTGAGAAACCTATAAGGGCGACAGGAAGCAACAGTTAGAACTGGATATGGGACGACTGGTTCAAAATTGGGAAAGGAGTACGACAAGGCTGTGTATTGTCCCCCGGCTTATTTAACTTATATGCAGAATACGTCATGCGAAAGACTGGACTGGAGGAATCCCAAGCCAGAATTGAGATTGCCGGAAGAAACATCAACAACCTCCGATATGCAGATGACACCACTCTGATGGCAGAAATTGAGGAGAAATTA